TTAAATGCCGCCGTGACTATTCCCCATAATTATGTTTATTGAAGATTTAAAAGAAACTGTGGTTAGGTATAGGTGTAGCAAACACTTGTGAAAGCATGTGTTTTCTTTTATTAAAGCACTGGATAAAGTATTGAGTGTAATCAGCCAAACAGAACTCAAAATATAAGTAGTGCATTTCATAAACTGATTTTCTATTCATATAGTGACAGTTATATAGACCTAACCCCCGGGCCTGGAAAGTTATCCCGATCAGGCACTTTCTTTGAGGAAGCACTGGATAAAGTCAGAGTTTATCAGCCCAAGATAATTCGAGATATTGTGCATTAGTGCATTAAAGCAGGCACTTTCTTCCAGGAAGGACTAGATAAAATCTGAGTGTAATCAGTCCAACATAATTCGAAATACAGTGCACAAACTGATGTTCTATGTATAGTAAGTGACCTTGACCTTTGATATCAAAGACTGAAAAGCTATCCAAAGGCTTAAGCAAACATTTTATTACGCTGGATAAAGTCTGAGTGCATACGGCCCTAAGGAGATCCAAATATTGTGCATGAAATGTTTTTCTATTTATAGTAACATTAACCTTAAACTTTGACATCGATGCCCCACACGCTACAACTTGTATCCTAAGCAAATAATTTCTAAAGTAACAATGACCTTAACATTTCACCACCAAAGCACCAAAGCAGGTCATTTCTCCGAGGTAGCACTTAATAAAGCCTGAGTGTAATCATCCAAACATAATTCGAAATATTGTGCCTAAACTAATTTTCTATTCATGGTACAGTGACATTGACCCTTGAGTGCCGGGCCTGAAAAGCTATTCAAAGCAAGCACTTTCTTCAAAAAAGGACTGGATAAAGTCTGAAAGAAATCCAACTAACAGTACTGAAGATATTGTGATAAAATTAAACAAGAAGCCAAATGGGCCTGTATCGCTCAATTACTTCTAATGCAACTTTGAAGCTGATCTAGGTCATTTATTTGGATGGTAAGCTCATAGACTTTATTCAAATATAGCACATTTGAGCCATGTGACCTTAAATGTAGATCAAGGTCATTCATTTGAACTCACTTGTTAGCCCTTCATCCCAGCATGATACATGCCTAATATCAGGTATCTGGGCATCTTGGTTATTGAGAAGAAGTTGTTTAAAGATGTTAGCACATTTGACCCCTGTGACCTTGAAAGTCGGTCAATGTCATTCATTTGAACACATTTCGTAGCCTCTCATCCAGGCATGCTAAAGGCTCAATATCATGTTCCTCTTAGTTATTGAGAAGTTGTTTTTTGAACAAAGTTGATGGCCCTTCATCCCAACACGCTACAGGCCCAATACCAGGTCTCTGAGCATCTAGGTTATTGAGAAGAAGATGTTTAAAGGGAAAAAATGATGCCCGAGGTCCGGACCATGGCCAGACGACGAACGCCGCACCAGGGCAATAGCTCATTCGTCCTTAGCAGGTATGCTAAAAACAGATAGAAGGACAGACAGACAGACAACCTGATTACTAAAGATGTGCAGGAGTCCTAACAACAAATTGTGTAATTGAATTGGAGAATCCCCCTCTGGGACGCCTATCCTCCCCCTTGGGAGCCAGAGTATTATGAAAGAGACCCTCTGTTAAACGACATGCAGTCTTCTTAACCAAGTAATGCTCCAGACCATTGATTTGAAAACATCATCAAGTCATACAAAGGATGTACTCTATTAGGTGATTTATGTCTTCGCAACAGCTGCCAGGGTAGTATGAGGACGGGTGTCAAGTTGACACCTGTAGAAGAAAACTACAATTCGAAGGAAGTGGATGTGTTGCCGGCACTTGCACCCACACAATTAAAGGGTGTCATTTTGAAATATCATGGTCACCATAATTGCGATATGAAAAGCATTATGCTTTCAGTGTCTTGTTGGTTGGTTGACGGAACTTAACGTCCACACAACATCTGAGGTCATATCTGGATGGTATCATGAGTGCATGATACATATTGTGTGTGCCTGTGTGTTGCCTCCAGCAATAAGTAGAACTTCACAAGAGGATCGAACTCGAACTGTAATCCATCATTCAAGAAAAAGTCAAGCATCAAGCTACGCATTGATGTGGAAAGTGGTTGCGAAAAAAATAAAGTTACTAATAAGAGTTTTTTATTTGCAAAGGGCTATAACTCCAGAAAAAATAGAACATTGACACTGGATTCTAACTCAAACTGCAATCCATTATACATGTATACTAAGTTACAAATAATATGAAAAACAGTTAATTATGAGAATTTCCCGTGTTCA